ATCTGGAAAGAAACTGACAGCACGAACGCCACTGACATCGATTAGCCGCCATTTCTTGCAACGTCTCCAGCCAAGCACAGACGGGGTCACGGGGACCCCATCCTGGAAGGCGCACAACACCAACAACACCCAAACTCTTCGTGATCTCTTTCGCGCCTTTTTGCCAAGTCATGTGCTGTCCACCTCGCGGTAGGCGCCATCCTGAAGGAGGCACGGAGAACAACACTCGTCTTGGTAGACGGCGTTTTGGCATGCGTAGCACATGACCGAGCCATCATAGTCGATAATGATGGATGTTTTCTCGGATTGAAGTACCTACAGCACAACCACATATCCAGTTTACAGTTACCTCGTTACTGACACGCTGACGTCATCCACCACCAGCCACTCTTCTGAGGCATCGGTGGTCGAAAACCTGAAGACGGCTCACTTCATCTGATCGCAGAGACCATATCTCGCACCCATACAACAACACAGCCCTTCTTGCAGTCTGGTACACACGACCCTTAAGATCGGGTGATATGCATTTTTGACGCCACAGGCGACGCAAATTAGCAAACGTCTTTCGAGCCTTGGAGATTCTTGCACTGACTTCATCAGACACACTTACGTCAGAGCTAATACAAATATCGAGGTACGTAAAGTTTTCCACAATCTATAGTGGTTCTCCTTGAATTGTAAGGGATATGTTCGCAGATGACACGTTCTGAAGCAGGACTTTGCACTTCGAAGGTGCAAGGCGCATGCCAAAATGGTATGATGGCGGTCAGTTTATTCAACAGGGCTTGTGCTTCGCTAAGGTCTTCAAAGATGAAGGCGATGTCATCTGCGTACTCCAAATCGACAAGGCTCTACCCAGAGTCCAGGGTTTTGAAGACAGCCCAGTGCTTGCCTCATTATTCCATCAATGAGTGGAGAGAGTGGACATTCTTGTCTGACACCACTTTCTGTAGGGAAGCTTTTCGAGAGCTCACCATACACTCACCCGCCAAGAAGTATGTGAATATAGGGATCGGATTATGTTTACAGACTTCTGGGGCATACCCTGTTGAGCAAGTGTAGTTAACAGAACTGATCGATCAACAGAATCGAAGTCAATCGAATTGAAGTCAAGGAATACCAGGATTGTGGGTCGTCTGTACATGTGGCGTTATTCTAACACCTGACGGAGCGTGAAGATGTGATCAACGCAGCCTCTACCCGGTCGAAATTCCGCTTGATTCTCACGAGTCAAGACTTCGCGTGCCCCCATAAGACGACGAAGAATCAATGAAGCCCGAAGCCTTGTCACAACAGGCGTCAAACTAACACCTCTGTGGTTGCTACATTCACTGCGGGTACCATTTTTGAAAATGGGCACCACTATCGATTCAGCCCAGTTGTATGGAACGGTGTCCTCCTCCCAGATAGACCCAAATAGGCTAGACAGGCACTGGCTGAAGAATCCACCACCATTCTTGAAAAGAGCGGGTAGGTCGTTAGGGCCAGGAAGTAGAAGAAGACAATAAAGCAACAGGAAACCGTAGATAATTGCATAAATTTCAGTACTGTTCAACAGCCACATCAGCGTGGACTCATTGTGAAAAGAGTAAAATCAACTATGATATTCCCTAGACTGTCCCAAGGATCCCGTGAGTCATTCCTCCAGATAAAACCGGGACATACCAACTGCTGGATTTGGTAGTGATTTCGACCCAAGGTGTAAGGGTGATGTACAAACACGCACTGGGAATAAAATATCCTCAGCGCTTGTGGACGCACACAATACAGCTAAGCGATTGTCGCATTCACGAAAAATCAATGACATGTGGTCGTTTAAATTACCATTATCTCGGGTAGTGACCCACAGCATCTACTTTTTGGAAAATCTTCGGGTTTATTGCCGAATTTTGAGCAGTGCTGACAGTTTCTTTCTAGCAACTAAGGTGTACCGTTTGAGTCACAATGGACACATATCCACCTGTCCGTGAATGCTTAGCTGTTTGTCTCTCAATTAAGCGAAGGTCTGCACTTCAATGTGTTTCAAGTGCCGTTGCTAACCCATTTGGCGACTGTAACGAAAACTCGCGCAGCAAGGCATAACATCACAGGGCGACAGTCCAAATTCGTGTCATGTTACTCCAAAAGCAATTAAAGATGAGGAGAGAATCAAGGAGAAATCCTCATACATCGAAATACATGTCCATATGAAGTGAACATTTTTCATTGTTGATGGAAGAACGTATAACCGTGATGCAATTTACGACGCAGGACTCATGAGTAAACGCGAAAAAATTTTTCCCGGATGATGCTGTTTGACAATGAACCAGGATCAATGTTGCGACAGATTAACCGATTTACAAATCAATTTGGTTTTCACGGGAAACTCAAGTGAATCTCTCGTTTAAGATAGTCTTCAACTGACACACAGACCGTCTCATGTTTCAGTTGGAACGATATTCGAAATATCGCAGTATATTTTCATAAAGGAAAATACTCACAATGTTGTTGAAAACTATTCTTCAGCACTTCCCTTTATCCAGATCAATGACGTTTGTCGTGAGGCTCTGTTGACAATTGAATAATCTTGTTAGACATTCAACCGCATTTAAAGAAAATCGATAAGGCAAATCACGTGTTATCAGCTGTGGTCGATTTAGTCGTTCTAATGAATGCATGTTATAGTGATAGGCCATATAAAAGTGCATAGCTTAAATGAAATTCATCTTTGAGACACCACAAATACAGTCTGTTACCGTTCACGAAAGTGAGAAACAGTTTGAGCTCGGAAAAAATCATATTCTTGAAAAACTTCACGTTTAGCCGACGGTGCGAATCTTAGTCAGGCCGTTTTTTAGGATGGACAGATTAGAAATCCGAAAGAACAAATAAATCATCGTGATTTGAACAAACCACACTAAGATAAAGCAAAGGCTCTCTTACCTGTACCTAGCTGCTCATATGAAGGGATGTTGCACCCCGTTGCCACGGTAACCACGACCGAGTTTGTGAATAGACTTTGGGGTTCATTGTTGACTTAAGATCAAGCCCCCTTCGTCAAATCACCTGTTCAAACATTGATTGATTCAACTCATAACACATGTCTTGTCGAGGGAATTTCTGTCGGTTTACTCATGCTCTCATAAGTTCACGATGACGGTTTCTTCTTTCCGCATTTAGTGACTGTCTATCTTTGGCAAAAGTAATCGAATTAATTATCTGAACTTAACAGTTTGGTCAGCACCTTGCTTGTACCTAAATCCTAATGGGATCGGTTTATCAAATGACAGAGTGGTTTGTCGCTGGAATCAAAACGAAAGTGATTTAGGGTATCTAAAAAACGAAACGAAAATCAGTCTGGTTCCAGTGCCAACATGCTTAGGTTGAAATAAATGACTCTCAGTGATCTGTCACTCTCCTACAGGTGTACATCACACTCATTTTCTCCTCTCATAACTAGTTCCCACATCCTGTTGTCTTCAACGGCAACGTTTGACAAGCGATCTATGTACTCAACAAATTCTTTCTGTCTAAGGTCAGATCTGAAGCTGTGAATTTCGGTCACAGCCTACTTGGAACCAAAAGTCCACGGGGATCGGGCAATTTAGTAGGAATAAGCAGTATTTCGTTTTACAAGTACACCCTCAAGTCTAACTCTCCAATAAAACCAAGGAAACAAGTACATTCAGGTGTTCTGGCAATAGATTTATTCATCCTGAAACATTCTGAGCCGAATACCCGGGGTAATGTGAGTTAACTCAGTCTCCGACGTTTTAGACTTTACGTATATTGAGTGACTGAGCAAGTGAGGATGAGTACGGGCAAACTTTCCTCACTTTACCGGATGAAATTGTTTCCAAAATGGACTGCTAGGCTTCATAGAGTAGTTTTAGAAGTGCCAAAGGATCGACTATCATAAATATTTGGATAGGTTAATTTTCTTTTGAGAAATCTATACTTTTCTGGCAAAACACACTCATTCGTATATCGCGTTTGTACCGACGGGAAACTGTGTGGGGCACAAAATTCACTTCATGCCTCAGATGGTATGATATGTGGGACATGAAAACTCAGAAATTACGTCTAAATAATCAATTCTCCAGTCGTTTCTACCCATTCTTTGCGAATTTGTCATCTCAGCCCACCCGCTCACCAAATCGGTGGCGTATTTTCTGTTTTGTGAAGCGATACAGTTTAAACCCTGTATTACCGGATGCTCCGGCATCATTTTCAGCCTTGGTCTTTATCGCAACCGGTACCTTTTTCAACAAAAAGCTGAAAATTTTACATTCCCTCAGAGTGACGTGATGTTATTTGACTAGGCCGGTAATCTAGTCCTGGAAACTCCATTTGTTGGAAGGTCTCATAGCTGGATTACTGAGTGGCGGGTAGAATAAAGTGGCGAACCGTAACCCAACACTTCCCCAGTTTTCTTTTTTGGCTGTGATATGTGAACATGTTTTTGCTGTGACTCATCGTGTTCGCTGATTTTTGTTCAAGTATAGCAGGGAGCAAAAATCACTAGTTCTAAATCACCTAGTATGCGCGAATCAGGGCTCTCCAATGCTACTGAGCATGCGGAGGATTCACTCCGTGCTGAAGGCCTGTGACGTCCTCCAATCAAGAAAATATTACGAAATCCCAAGATGATATTTCTTTGAGCGGGAGGACACTGTACAACTTCAGCCTACATGAAGTGGACACACGAATCAGATGTCACAAGATCTCACAAGAATTTGAGTATTCTGCGGAGCCTTGTAATGTTATGCAACACAGACGAAAGATCTCCCAATCGTTCCGCCGAGTTACTGCACCTATAAACATAAACCTTGGTGCAGCAAAGCTCCTTCACAGTGCGCCCACTCTCAAAGCGATATTCTCGCACTGTTGGCAAGCCTTGGTTGATGTCTTCAAACTACCGCCTTGATTCTTAGTATATCGGCTTCTAAAGTTTTGAAAAAAAAATTAAGGGAATACCGTGACTGTTTTGTTGGAACAGATTAAAGCCACGGAAAATTTCAGGTCGTAATACCGTGTCCCAGAGTGGCTCTTTCTGAAACACGTTTTCGATTGGTATAGTCAGCGGCCATCTTATAACAGTTTTGCTACTTCTGAGCTAGCCAGCCTTCATCTATGATACTATTGTTTGTATCTAACCCACAGACAGTCAAAGAAACTTACGTAAAGTTTGTTAGGTAAGGAGGAGACATGTTTGAGGGATGGGATGATAAATTCACTTGGCTAAATTTTTAAACCAGTTTTCAAATATTGATTGAAGTTTCAAAAGCCGTATTTAAAGAAACAGTGTGCGCCTGTTCATAGTCACTAAAGCTCACAACAGGGGTGCTCAGTGGTTAGGGCGCGAATTTACTGACCGGAAGGTTCGTAGTTCGAATCCGACCTCTAACTATCGACTTCCCTTGTCTAGGCTTAGGCAACCTGGCAGTATCCCAACCCTCGTGCTTCNCTCCTTCTGTTGGCCTGGCGGCCAGGCATCGAAAAGGTGCTACAGCTGAACGCTACAAAGAAATTAATGAAAAATAAAAATCTAGTTAGCTTCTGAATCATAATGGGCAAGAAACTCATTGTGGCCTTGTCATGAGCACATCTGGACGTCTTAACAGTACGTAACTGATACGAACATTGTGTTTTTGATGAACTACAGATATCAGCTCTCATCATCATTTCTGTTATTCCTTGAAAAATCGAGGACTTGCCTAGAGTCCAGTGATCATCGTACTCAGTTCACTAGCAAAATAAATAAACCTTGCTTTGGCCTAGCTTTACACATGAACCCGTTCGCCTAAACTCTGATAAGGTGGTACAAATATCTACACACTGGTCGTCAAACAAGCCTACGTGAACAGAGTGGTTTTAAACTTACGAACTGCCCCACACACACACTCCTCCAATTGTGGCACCAGGAGGTACGACTGTGTTAGTGAAACAATCTAGTGGGTATCAGTTCCTCGTCGACTAGCACTGAGCACAAAGATGACCATCTGCAGAAAGCAATTACTGTTAGACAATTTGCAGACCACAAAAATGCACTAATTTTCTTTCGGAAGCCTAACCAAGACTTGTTTGGATTGGAGCCCAACAAACTAAAGCTTCAACAGATTGAGTGAAACACATGTTTATTTTGTTATAAAATTTCATCAAAGAGCCCGAACTAAATTGCGTAAGTATGCTGATTCTATAATCCAATCTTTTTTCAGTTTGTTTGGCTAACTGTGACTACAATGGTGCCTTTAAAGAACCAGTCCTAAAATACTGATACTTAAAAACGTAGTCAGACTGCCTCCCTCCTTGGAGTAATGTTCTGCGGGACCGGACGGCTTTCCTACTTGAGGTAACTCCCCTTAATTGGGTAAGGTCCCGACGAATGGCGTGACCTTAGGGATTCACAGACATGAAAACGGGGTAATAATTTTTTTGCAAGCCATAAAATAGGTGTAGCATAATTGTTGTCCCATTCTAATCGGCATGGTGTAAACATACCGCACAGCCCTAAGTACGCTTAAAGCTGCCCAACGCTCCTCATGGATCGATAATCCCTCTTCTTCTGGGTTATGCCCGCATTACCAAGAAAGCTGAATTCGCGCAACGGCTCACTTCCACTTGTCCCTGTACTTGTTGTCAAAGACATATTTCCCGCTCTGAACTACTGCATTTTCAACTTTTTGTTTTGGTCGAACTGTTTTGATTTATTGCCCAGTGTGCAGGGCTTCTGATGTTGTTACTCATGTCACTCATCTACAAACCAATCAATAACTGAAAAGATTTGTTTGCCGTTCCATGGCTATGTCGTGTAGCTGTTCTATCCACGGAAATTCTGACAATCCACAGTGCGAATCGCCCCGTTTTAATAATACGAGACCGATAGTGAGAACAGCTGAACTTGCAGTGAGTACAAAACTATCTCCGGCGGGTCCACCGAATCTTGCAGCACCTGTCCATTCACCAGAGGAAGCTGGTCCCGTTGTATTGCTTGTACATCCTCCCGTCTGGTGATGCGTACCTCCGCCGGATTGTACGCCTTTTGAACTGGCTCCGTCACGTGTTCTCCCATTCAGCGACCGTCCTGACTTTGTGGTGAGCAAATTCGTGATACGCTGATGAGCAGAATCCTGATAAAGTAATCCTAAGCCCAATACAGCTACGGCTTGACACGAGGAGGAAACCTGTTTTGGGATGTCGAAGGCTTTTCATCAATGTTATAAATAGTGTTATTGCACTGACAGCCCTTGCGATGGTACAGGTCTATCTGAATATCTCATCCACACTTGGTAGTCTTCTGCACTTTAATGGCACCTTTCGTGGGTCCTTCTGGCTTTTGGACTCTCCACAGTGGTTCAGCTTGTGAGAACCACTACTGAGGTCATTTTCAGGTCTATCTGATCGGCAACATACTACGGTTGATCAATTATTTCTTCAGTGATCACGAGAGCCATGTGGGCACTATTAGTATAAGCTGATTTTCGGTTGGGCTTTTTTTCAATCGAGGTGTTTTCTCCACCACAGGATGAGTGCACCAGTTCAACGATCCTGATATTTCTCAACTGTTTTATTTACCCTGTAGCACACCTTTTTTATTTATTTTTCAGCTCCCTTTTGCAACCCCTCTTACCGGTGCAAGAAATACTTTGTTTTTCGGGTAGTTCTAAGCTGTGAAGAGGCCTTTACGAGGCAGTAAACTGCTTTCTCAGCTATGCACTCAGCAAACTGTGCAGAGAAATATCGATTTTGCGTTCATGAGTGGTTCTCAGCAGACACCGGTAGCTGTGCCTGTGACTGTAACGAATGTGAACTGGGTTTACTTGAGTATACGGGGTCGCGAGAAATCCCCAGGATACTCCGGCAGTGTTGTGTCAATCCGTAATTTGGGCGGTTTTCCCCGTCAATTTCTATTTTCCGCAAAATTCTATCCCATGAGAAAAGCAGGGGGTCTCCTACACCATGGTACTACACCAGTTGCTTGCAAGAAGCTTGATCACCGTTCACACTTTTCTGACGCCGCATTTGATGAGTGTTACCTACAAAATCAAATAAATTTTCTGCGCTACTTTTACAAAGAAGTAGTACTAATCCGAAAGTAGGAGACCAGGTTCGTGAAGAATAGGAGAAAGGCAAAAAATTCCAAGGATTCTTAACAGAGTGTGTATAGCGTGGTCAATAAGCTTTTTAGATCACCTCTTGTTCTCAGTCATAGCAGTCCAGCAAATGTAATCTACGAAACCGACAAACCGACCGAAGTTGGATTCGAATACTGGTCCATTTCAAACTTCAGTGGTCTTTACCCAACCAGCATTATTCAGTTTGGCGTGCATGTGGCAGCACTCGCTCGCAATGACCCTGAACAGCAGATGATGGAACTGGACCAGTTCTATCAAAACCGTATGGTGGGCACTAAGGCAAAATCGGTGGGGCTCTGGCGACAAACTGAGATATTTTTTATGGTAAAAAAACGTTGCTGAATCTGTCTGAAAATGAGATGCTTTGCATTTTGTAGTGAGGAGAATGGTGGGAAGTGGGGTAGCATGGATAACCGTGGTTCTGTCCGCCGAGCTGAACACCTTAGCTTCCAAGGTTCTGCCACCAATCCGACTGATTTGAGCGGAGCGGTACACTACTGGTTGGCGCACGGATGCGGTGCTGGAAGGGAAACGATTGCAAGTAATTTATCTAACTGAGCAGAAGAAGAACCAACGGCCGGATATCTGTCATTTAGCGGGAAAAAGTTGGGTGCCCCTAAGAGGTATGAAGCTGAAAGAACCACACCTTTTTATCCTGTCTTTAAGATCCTCGAAGAAGTGGGCATCCAGTTCACAATTGAATTTCACCATCTTATCGGAAGGTTTTTTAGAAACTCCACTCTTCGTCTACCAAGGTCACTAGTCTAAATATATCGTTGTTTCGTTTGGGCATAAGCTGTCATCATTCAATGACATAAGCCAAGCAGCAGGAGTCCCGTCTTTCAACTAACTCCGGACGGCTGCTGCTGCAATGCCAACGGCAATTCTCTCGTCTTCCGCACGAAAAACAAGTAGTTGTGTGTGATGATAAATTCAAGGAGGGAAGCGTTTCTTATCCTTCGTCAAACGGAATAAATTATCCTCGGTTCGGTTCCCAGTTCATCCGTCCCAGGGACAGGGATTTCCAATTACACTAAGTATCCGACATGCCACACACACACACACACCCCACTTAGTTTAATCGAGCACGGAGGAAAACCAAATCCTTTAAGGCGTGCCACGTTTAATCACCAAGGTTTCCGGTTTTAGGCTGCTCCTTTGTCCGACTTGGGAAACAGGTCACAGTCACTTGATCCACATCCCGCCAGTAAACAGCCACCCGTGAAACGCAGCTTTCTCCCTTGTCCCTCCCCCTCAAGCTCTAACCGGTCTAGTAACATGACCGCTTTTCAGTTCTACGCACTTAACAGAATTTTCGAGTGGGTTGAGCATGTCAGCAAGCCTGAGAAGAAATCTAAGTGATTTATACTCAACCGGTCGTTGAACAAAACTCGGTTCGCGTGCTTACTTCGGACCAAGATGGGGAGGAGCAGACAAGAACCATTAGTCCATAGTGTTGCTTGCTGGTACGATAGATTCAAACATCAAACACTGCCCACTAATTATGGCATAATTATTTCTGGGTGATTCTGGTTGACCAGACAGTTGGGAGTAAGAAATTCTAGAGTTTGTAGATTTGCGTAGTGATGGGTGAATGCCGTGAATTAGGTCGATAGTAATTTTTTAAAGCATCTGGCAGTTCGGTGGCTCCACTGACAAGCTATTGTGTCAAAAGCCATAACCTCACCAACTATTTCTTGTATAGACCAAAGTGTCGCCTACAGACAGTGATGCTAGTCAGCTGATTAAACTGTCATTCAACCGCCCACACTTGGTTGTGTAGTTTGTTAGATATGTACGTGACGGTGACGCAGCAGATATCACGTGACAGAGTTGTGACTTGGGCAATCGTTAAAAATGCTGCCCAACTTAAAACTATTCAAAAGGACGCTACTCACCTTATGTCCTACTTGAACCCGAAAATGCATTAAATTTGCATGCCCGTTTAGCCTTCAACGGGGAATCGCCTGAATCCCGGCTGAACGCTTCGTAGCACATTCAGTTGAACAGTATCGTTCAGTGCACCCTTTCGGTGGCTAACTGACATGCCACCAGAGGGAAGAACGAAGGCCGGGATCCTGCCAGACTGACTAAGCCTAGACAGGGAAAGACAAGAGGCAGGTGTCGGCTTCGAACCACGGACCTTCCGGCCTGTAAATTCCCACTCTAACCACTGAGCTATCCCACCCCCTGAGCCATTATCATAAACGAGGGATTCAGCTGGGTTTCAGTTGAGTACCCCCTAAAAACCAAATTGACATGCACATAAGTATATTTATCATATTTATCCACTGGTTTAAAAGATAATGCTATAAGTAATCCTATGTCTAATATAAAATCTCGCTAGACGAAAGATGGAATGAAGCAAAACAGTAGCACACAATCTTCAACAAACTTCTACCATGCATACAATTCGTCGCTCAGGTGGAACCGATCTATGCAGCGAAGCTGAGAAGTACTTTTTAACTATTTCATTTTTGTAAAACGCTGAGCAATTGTTTGACCTCCAAGGATATTCATACAGGTTGTAAGATCCGGGCAGCTATGGATCTTACAGAATGATTGGACCTGTCGAGCGACACGCAGTTTGTATTCAGTGGGCAGTAAGAACTGATGGACGAGGGGAGTAGAAACGGTAAAGAGAACTGGTTCTATGGACAAATAGGTTAGTAAACATCATTAATTAAGCAGAACATACAATCAATAATAGTACATCGGTAGGAGCAGAAAGAGGGACAGTGGGGCATTAGGGCTTTCTGGAAGCAGAAGTGAGTAAGTACCAAATGATATACAAGTGTACGGATACGGACAGCCAGAAAGTGCTGTATAGAGATATAAGGCGCAAAAAACTGTCGGTACATTCGGGAAGTAAGGGAAATTGTCTGGAAAACGGGCAACGGGATAATTTGGCGCTTAGGCCTATTTAAAATTGGACTTCAACAAACACTAACTGGTAAGATGTAATACAAAGGTATTCTAAAAAGGGCCACCTGGGATGTAGAGCTGGCGCAACGGATAGTGTGTTTGTCAGAGTTCGAACCCCGGTCGACCCGCTTTTCCATCGGAGCAGACACTCAAACGTAAACAGAGTTAACAATGCAATGAAAACAGAGATGGACAAGAGACAAAATCTTGGCGTTAGCAACTTTATCCGGGAGTAAAAAAACAGTGAACGAGCGGCAGGGATGCAGAACAGTATTATAATAAACAGGCGTAACCCATGCTACTCATAAGTAGTCGAAACAAATTGGACGAATGTCCGCTGATGGTCGCTGAATCACTGGAGGACCTTCTGTGACCTTCTGTTTATCACGCGGTTATTCATTCACATGTGATGTTCACATCCCTCACTCACTCAGTCCATTTCGGGTGATCTGTTGTTGACTGACTAATTAAGTAACAGCATTTCACCATTACTATCGCCTGAAACGTTCTCTTGGTAGGTAGAAGGATCCATTAGACTTCCCTTTGATGCTGACTAGTAGGGGGAGTCCGTTGGACCAAAGATTAACCGTTTGTGCAGCCTCCCACAAGTATTCAGCAGATGCAGTGATGCGTCACTAAGATTGTTGGGAACATCCAAAACTTGAGACAGACTACAAGACCAGAAGAGTGCCCTCATTTTCGAGTAACTTATGGAGCAACACTGATACCATGATCAACAGACCTTTCCTGCCAAGTCGGTGGGGGGGTATTGTTTCCCTTATGAACAAATCGTCGGGATATGAACATCGGTTAGATGCGAGTAGCATAATCTAAAATGCATTCTTAAAATTGCGGTGAGAGGGTCCATCCACTTCGCCAGTGAGCAGAGACCAAAATGTTAATGTACAAAGGTCCGGCGGCAAAAAAACTTGCTTATATCAAGTCGCGATGCACTCAAGTTGAAATGACTCGTGTCAAAAAGCGCGTGCACCTGAAAATCACGAGTGCACGAGTGTACAAAGCGTAGAAAGTTGAGTGCAAATTTGATCGCGATTGGATTCCGGTGCGAAATCTTTGAAATGCACTGCGTCCTTGAATGGGGTACTCTACTGCTAGCTTTCTGCTAGAGTTGTCAGTTTTGCGCCCCTACATGATCCGAAACAATGGAGACTGGGGGGTGTAGGCATATATGAAGGTACAGTGGTAAACCTAACGCATCTGCCCAAGTTCTCTGTTTAAACGACAAGAAAACCATTTCTCTTAATGACAACTTATGCGGTTCCAGTTTGTAACATCAGCCTCTTTTCGAGAAATACACTCATTTGCAAATCAATTTGGTTCTTCAGCAACCTTGTGAGTAGTTCCCTTTATGAAACTATACTGCGATATCTCGAATATCGCGCTAACTGAATCACGATGCGGCCTGGGTGCAGCACATTCAGTTGTATAATATCATAAACAAGAGATTCAGTTTGGTCTCTCGTGAAAACCAAATTGATTTGCAAATGAGTGTATTTCTCGAAGATAAAAATTTGTTTCGTTACACTCACGATGACGGCCGAGTTTATCTCCGTATATTTTTTTATTTCGTTTCCCTTAAAACAGCAAAGCAGCAAACAAAGTGAATTTTGTGCAGTACCCGTGGACCAATTTTGAGGAGAAAAATTCCAGTGAAGCGCGGCTTAAAACAAAGGGTGCTGCTGTTTACGAATTAATAATCATGGGCAAACAAACATTTGTCATTCGAGTGTCATCCAGCTACTAACCGATGGGATGAAAGGCAGTGACAGGTGATAGATGCGGCGGATAAAAGGCCGATCCGAGTCAGTTCCGGTGTGTTCAGATCGTTTGCACTCCACGCGTTAGCCAGTCGGACCAATTACAGGCCGAGTGGACAGTTTGACAGTGAAAACTATCGGCCACATGATTGTGTCCCTTTCGATGACAGGCTCACCAGTGCCTTGAGCCGCTTTGTTTATATTCGGCAACAGTCAATATAAAAAGCAGGGTTAGAATTTTCCCCTGATACGAATGTCAGCAAACTACGGTTGTTTTGAGATAAGAAAACAGAAGGATCGGTATGACAAGAAAAGGACAAGAAAGAAGAGATAAGAAAAGTTGGAATAGACGCACAAACACAGTTGACTGATTTCAACAAATACGTTCATTTGCCTACCAATATGGTTTTCACGTGAGACTCAGCTGAATCCCTCGTTTGTGACATTCTTCAACTGGATGTGTTACACAAAGGCCGCCTCATACTTCAGTCGGTACGATATTCGAGATATCGCAGCATGTTTTCATAGAGAAAACTTCCCACGAGGTTGTTGAAAAATTTCGGCAGACCTTGACCGATTTCGCCCGTCTTGGGGCTTATTATGTAAGCACAGTCCCCGAGTTTCGGTCAACCTCATGTTCTACTTGAATCCAAACTGCAAGAAATTAGACAAATGCATTCACTAGCATGCTTACGAATAACTTGGTACTTACCAGTAGCCAACAAGTGAGCTATTATATATCGCGCTGACACATGAATTTTTGAGACCGGTGACAAGACCAGTCACGGACTGATACAGCATTTCAAAAAGATAATGAAAGTCGGTCTTGCCACTTCTGCTATTGGGTCCGATTACGTCTGTCAGGTTAGGACGAATGTAACGCACTACTCATAAGGCTACTGAAAACTGTCGGGTGAAGTTTAGTCAGTACACCGCGATATCTCTAATGCCGTAAAGATTATTCTAGGAGAGGAGTACATCAATACAGCTGTCCTGCAAGATCCGAAATGCGGGTGGTCGATATGGGGCTGCCCTTTAGTCTTTCAGTTCATGAGGAGTTAGGGTGAGTCGAGTCAGTAAATAAACAAACAGGTCAAAGAAAGCATGACAATTTCTTTTTGAAATGTTTAGTTGTCATTCATAAATGTTCATGTGTCATTCTAAACATTTTTTCAACTCTGCAAACACCTTCATCCTTCAACTGTTCAAAAATACTGACAAAACAATGTACTTTTGCAATTCTTCAATGCTGCGGGAAACGGATTCGTAGGTCTTCCCCTTCGCTAGACTTTGGAAGAAAAAGCTAAGTGAATCCAAGTTCGATAATCACGAGTTCATTTTCAAAACCAGTATAGGTTCATCAGTTTCTGGGGTGCGGTTCTTTTACGGATACTCGTCTTCTCTTTGTGGAAGCAAGAGGGGTTCAATCATATTGAAACTAATCCTTCCAGGAGACGTTTGTTCGCATAAGACACATGGAGGCTAGAGTGGATTTATTCAGCGTTCGTCCGTTCAGTCAGAGAGGTCATCAGTACACCTCCCATGAGCTCTAAACCAGATATTTCGTCCGAGCTAGCTCCCAGCTTCGCGCGTTGTATTTGGATTAAAGTGAGAAAGATCACCTTCGAAGAATGACCTCGCTTTCAGCCTCCTGAATATCCGATTGCAATGTTTCACTAACGCTTCTTTTTCGTGACACAGTCATCGCAAGCATCCTTCAGGATAAGACCTGAATATCACAAAATTCTAAGTCGAGCAGCGCAACACAAGGCTACTCCATAAACTGTGTTTAGCCACAAAGTGACAAGCACATATGGGCCTGGATTCATTTCTACCTGAGAGTTACCTGTCCAAGATAAAGCGTTTCCCGTTTAGGTAGCAAGAAGGACTCATAATGCAAACGACAAACATGGATTTCTTCGAGAAGTTTTTCAGATGTAGGTAGGGCTCCCCGTTGGACTGAGTGGTTTGATTAAAACTGAATTGATCATCCACAATTGATCATCACCACAATTAGACAGCCCATGAATTCGATGTGGAGAGTACGCAGTGCGATTACTTTATTCATGTGAAGATGTAATGTCGGTACGTCGAATCGATCTGTGAGCATGCCAGTTTGATCAAAAGCAAAATTTAGAAGAAAAAACAATCACGGATACATTTGTAATCTGCCAAAACAATTCAATCATCAGATTAGTGGTTAAGAGTGAAGGTAGCTGAATGGGTTGTGAGCATCCTTCATACAGGAGGCACTCTGCCACGAACTAAATTTATTGAGAGCCATTGACGCACGACCTTTGATAGGTCAAGGACACTAACTTTATAACTTATACCGTGAATCGACCTTTTGTGTGTTTCCCATGCGATGCGCTGACAGACCTTTGGTGATCTGTCAGTGATGGAAAGTTGCATTGTTCCCCGCTCAGCAGTTTGACTTTAAGACGATTCTTTTGCAGCGCGAAAAATTCACATCTTCCGTTCTGAAGGTGTCATGTATCGCCGAATATTTCTCGTTTCTGCACGCTTCACGAATCTAGTAAACTGAGGGGGGCTGAAATGAGAGGATAGGTCTCCAAATCAGCCTCCGTTGAGATGATTCAGATGGGACAGGACACTGTTATTCACAGTTGAAAAAAGGGAGAAAAGGGCTTAACGACTAGCGAGTTGTTGTGTACCCTACTGTAAAAGGTGAATCAAACAGTCGTTGGTGTGTGTAGTTTACAAACCCGTAATGAACTTGAGGTGGATAGACTGGGTTCGAACGTGACAGTCTCATAGGTAAATTATGCAGCCACGTAGAAAGGACATGTTAGAGGGCGCTGTTGTAGAATCAATCGCCCAAACTATGTGATAGGTCAGTAGCAAGCTGGCACTGTCGGTGCACAACAGCCCTCCCCAATGAGCACTTTCTAGGGGTAGGGACGATTATTTATACGACAGAATATACGCAACTAGAAAAACGTCTCTAGGAGTGTCAACAGGAACATTGCACAATGGACATTCACAGCCTTTTCCCCAAGAATAAAAGTTGTGCCCCCTGAACTCAGGTAGAGGTCAGTGGAACTGTTCTAGCAAAACAAACAGTGGAACCTGCAGAACGAATAGGATGGGGGCGAGATGGCTCAAGTGGTTAGAGCGCGAATTTACTGGCCGAAAGGTCCGTGGTTCGAACCCGATCTCTGCCTCTCGACTTCCCCTGTCTAGGCTTGGGCAACCTGGCAGTATCCCAGCCCTCGTGCAACCTTCGGGTGGCATGGTAGTTAGGCGCCGAAAGGGTGCTACAGCTGGACGATTTCACTGGTGGGGATGACACCCTGGACACCCCAACACGTATATATTGGCAAAACGAGACAGGCTAAAAAGTACCGTTTTGTGTTCAGTCATAGATGTATTCTGCATTGAGCGAACCACGGAAGACTTCTCAGTCTAACCAGTAAAATTCACTGATACCTGTCCGTTCAGAAGTGGTTCGTTTCATTCATACTATTTCCAACTACTTTATTTCTTTTATTACCGAGCTTCTAAATATTGATGATAGTTCGATAGCCTACGCAATGTGTATTTAGCCTGTCTTGTTTTGTTTTCTCGAGTCTTCAGTGAAAATGAACTTACCATGAACAGTGATGCATTTTTACAACTGTCTGTTAGTAGTGTCTTTGCGGCAGAAGAACTGCACCTCTGTAACTTGTGACCAAGCTGACTATTTCAGACTACTGTGCACGCTTCTGCATAATATCACCAGCAGTTACTCGCTCATATACTGTACATCAAAATGAGCTACGAGAGATGAGACCAAGATAAGCTTTTTGGAGTAGTTTTGATCTACAGCGGCGTTTTTATGAGAAACCATCAATTTCTGCACAAAGTGCATTCGGATAAATAGAACCAGTAACGTCTTTTTTTTCTTGCTCAACTCAAACTGATGTGTGTGATTCCGATGTTGTGGGTGGAGGGTGTGCATCGAGCTGAATGCACTCGCTGTTGCTTCAGTCAAAATTCTTCCTCCCCTGTCCCATCTCAGGACGCGCGGTCAACGAGCGAACAGAGTGGGAGTGAAGTCAACAAGGCCACAATGTGCTACCCCCTCCCCTGAACAGGACAACCTCATCACCGGATCAGCACACGCGCAAACCGGTGCAGGCCACGCGCCTTTCTGCGAGCGCCAGCAGACAATCAGCTGCCTATTGGTTCATCTGCGTCTGACGTCTCATCCACACTCATTGACCAATGGGCAATATGTGTACACAGTTCCACTATTGATTATAAGGAAAAAAGTCTAGAAGATCACCGTGCCCGCATATTTTCTCGGTTTCCGGATGGAAGTGGCGCATCGACAACCGATTCGGTGTCTTTTTGGAAAAATGAATTTGGACTGTGTTACTTCGTGTCGCTACTTGCAGCAAGTGGATAGCTTGTGTAGAGCGAGCACCGAACGTTTTCGTCAGCGATACAAGTTTGATTTGAACACTATGAAACCAGTGATGTCAAAACAACGTGCAGAGTCCAAAGGCAACAGAGTAACTGGGACTATATCACTGGGTGAACAAAATGAATGGACGTGGGAAGAACTGGATCCACGTGTTTGCTATATTCCATCGTTCTATAAACAAGATCACATTGCATCAGGACGATTACACACACCCAGTCCAATACAACCACAAGCAGACACTTTAGCGCAGAAGTCCAGAAAAATTCTGTCGGCTTCTCCTACAAATGCCCTTTTCCTAAGAACCCCAACATTGTTTTCAATCTGGCAGCCAAGAATAAGAAGAACCAGTCTGCCGGATCCAGAACAGTCGGATGTGAAATCTGTAACCCAAAAGACTCGAGGTCGAACTCAGAGCCAACACACTGCAAGATCTGCTTCCAATCCCCGAACAGTATACAGAACGACTTCAAATAAGGTAGTTTCTGAGAGATTGGCACCGGTTATGAGAGAACAGGGAGGCAACTCGAAGAAAACTCCCGTCGAATTGAGGGCGTCGGGCAAAGATGAACTAAAACAAAATGTGCTGGGTTCGCAGATTCATCAAAGACGTCAAACAAAGTCAAGTTCTGATTCGCTGGCGGTAAGTGAAGTGCTTCACTGATTTTTATGACAGTGTTCATAAACCCTAAGTCTTTTCCAACTTTCTCAAGTTGACGAGTATTGATAGCTCTCAGTCTAGATAAAGTACTGGGGAGCCATCTGGCAAACTACCAATAATAAGTTCTCACGTTTTTGAGAAATACACTCAGTTGCAAATCGATTTGGTTTTCACGAGAGACTCAACTGAATGCAAAAGAGTGTATTTCTCGAAAACAGTCCAATTTGGGTTCAAGTAGAACATGAGGTTGACGGAAACTCGTGGACTGCGCCTACCTGATGAGCTCCAAGAAGGGCGAAACCGGTCGTGGGCTGTCGAAGAGTTTTCGGCAAACTTATGAGTAGTTTCCTTTATGAAAGTTTTCACGTTACTGCAGCTAACAGACCTAGAGCTGGATCTGATTTTTCTGGTGGGTAATCGATTTGCTGTTCCCATAAGTTTGTTGTTCTTGTACATGCGACCTCCTTTTTACTTCAGAGGAAAGACTATTTAGCCCCCTTAGGTGCTCTCAACAAATTCGAGAAAGGCTCTTCCTCTAAGGACCACGAATCTTGTTGTAACCCCGCATGGGTTTGACCAGAACGAGGAGCAAACCAAGTGACTTTTCAACTGGCTTTTACCACTTACAAGTTTGAACTGACAGCGCTTGGACTTAGCACCTAAACACCTTCCGGCCAAGAAGATAGTAGAATAAGAAAGAAAGAGATGCAGACCGGTAGCGTAACGAACACGAGGGATAATCCATAGACACGCGCGCATCTAATCGTCATAAGGTTATATCAATAGTAAACAGTACAACAAACCTCAGAGCACGAATTACAGATGGAGTATGTTTGCTGGGTATAGTACTAAGCTACCTTCACTGATGGACTGTTCCTTTTTATCTTCTGAGGTTCTACTTGATTGAGGAAAGTTGTATTTTCAAGAGGCTTATCAGAAGTGGAAGGTAAAGTGTTCAAAATCCCCGGCAGATACGACTAACACGGCGGAACACATGAGGTAACCGAATCAGTCATTGGGAATACATGCTGGTACACAAGACTAAGGAATTTGGGGGATATTCTACTTGGCCGGAACTGTGCAGAAGATTGGAATGTCTTGTCGCTGCCAGAGTTAAAGGCTTCTAACTTTCACTTTTAGACAGCCTTGCAAGTTAAATCAACCCTTGCTGGATCGTAGTGGGGCGATACACAACTGTTCTGTCGTTTTGCATAACGCCCACGACTCGCTACCATGCAACGAGCTAATCAATATGAGATTGCGCAAAACGAATCTGTGATGTGGAGGGTGAGTATCGCGATGCAATAAGTACATTTGGGCCAAGCTGGTAGCCCGGTTGTCTGCGGTTCACTGCTGTGCTCATGTTTTTATGTTCATTTTTGCCACCTTGTTAGTGGCTATTCGCCTTTTTCATACCAGCTTGCCTGCGATAAAGCACTCAGAGCGGTCCATATATTATCTGGGCAGCATTTTACCCATTCATAGTAGTACTTTCTTCTAACTGAAGTCAGTCAGCACTGTGTTTACCAGATTTAAAGCATGATCCACTGCGCACCCTTCGAATTCTATTCAGGATCTCTTTAACAAATCTGAAAGTTGCACGCCACCGAGCATTCATGCCTCCGACCTGAAAACGTAGCGCAAGTTTCGGCCGGTCCTTAAGAATGGACTTCACTTGTTCTGACAACGGACGCTGATAAGTATTCATTCACTCTGACATAATCGAACAAAATCAACCCGTTGCGGTTAGTACCAAACTTTCTATAAATCTTCATCAAAGTCTAGCTCACTTGCACGTGGTGGATTTACATTGGTTGCATTCTGAGCTCTTTCACTGACCATGATATACTGGTTTTTCTACGTACCACTTCGCTCTCAATCTGTGTCCTTTAGGCCGTTATCCCTGAAAAGTCCAGGATTCGAAGCAGATCTCTTTCGACACACCTACGATGAAAATTTTCACACATCGTGAATTGCTCAAATGTGATTACTTCATACCTCTCCAGTAAGTGCAGTCGGCCTGATTTGGCAGTGATTTTTTATTGATTGGTGTATTCGGACTTTAAAAGTTCATATTAAAATCTTTTGAAAAAACTTTTTTCTAACTTGTCTTTGGAGGTTTTCCTCTTAGTAGTATATTCGCCATGTGACTGTCCATCAACATGGTTTGATTGTGGTGATTCTGAGCTGAAGATCCCTATTATTTCGTGAGCTTTTCCCTCTGGAAGTGTTACTTGTGAGTTGCAAGTAGTACGATTTATTATTTAGCCTGTCGTGCATGGTATGGTCCGCTCTTGACTATGGCGACGAAATTTGCATAGCGGAATGTACTTTGTTTGCTTAGAATTACAATTTTTTCATACAATTTATCATCAACAAAATCAGTATCATCAAAACGCGGCTAACCTAACCACAGCACCAATGTAAGCTTCCACTATTTGATGTCCAACCCCACTATTCATGTTGGAAAATAGGAAGTGTCCAAATTATATTAATTCGGAGGCAATGTCCGTCAAACAATTATAATAAATTGAATGGCAGTTGAGATTTTAGTGCTTCCTGGTTCACAAATCTCAAGTGGAATTCACTTCTAGCCTTCAAGGGATCATGAATGACGTGCTTTGACTTACCCATGGTTCATGCATAACTTCCACAGGTAAGCCATGCCATGCCATCCGAAGGTTGCACGAGGGCTGGGATACTGCCAGGTTGCCCAAGCCTAGACAGAGCAAGTCGAGAGGCAGAGGTCGGGTCCGAACCACGGACCTTTCGGTCAATAAATTCGCGCTCTAACCACTTGAGCCATCTCGCCACTGGCAAGCATTTATGAATAAATCCAATCATGTATGTGTGGATTCAACTGCCTTCACCACATGAAGCAACACCAAAACGTTTTGCTCTCCTACCTGATGAAGAGGGTTGAATTGTGTTTTCTCAACAGTCATGAGGTGCGGCTACCCACGGTGCCTGAACGGAGGTGAACACTGAATCATTGAACCCTTAAATGCTGAGTCCCAAGTCTATTAGCCAGGTGGTAGACATTTTGTGCTATGCCATAGATTTTTAGCTGTTTTTTCACGCAGGATTGAGTTTCTACTGTTAACTGTGGTAACAGGGGGGGATCGAAGGTGAAATGAGGTGAATTGGTCATTTTCAATGAAGATTTCCTACTATTAGTGAAGTTGGTCTGTGTCGAAAAATCGAAAGGCACTTTACAATTTGTTTTATGCCTGTTGGTGCCACGTAACTCACAAAACTCAGAGAGTTTCGTACCCGCGATCTTCCGGTCAGTGCTTGAACACTTAAACTTTTAGCTACAGATGGCCAATCAGTAGTGTGAGTAGTTCTCACTTAGACACAGAAGAAAGAAGAGGAAGACGGTGAAGATAAAGATTAAGGGCTCAATTTAACCACCGATTCTCAACAGAGGTTACTTCTGATTTACTGGATTCAGTCTACTCTAGTAAACACGCTATTGAAAATAGGTCATTCTATACCACCACACTTAGGAGAAACTTCATATTGCAACTCAGCTACCCGTAACTTGATCGTGGCCTCCACTGCGAAGGGCTTCTTCAGTCGTGAGGTGCGCACCGTTACTGTCCCCAATATTTCAGTGTCAGGAAGCGTCCAGACACAAAAAAACACGTGCAGAAAACTGCGTATCCACAAGGTCACCATCAGTACCGCACATGCCGGATAGCAGGTACGTTGGCGGAGCTTACCAAACACGATTTAGCAGCATGCGACCAGCGGAGTGGGTGTGAAGGTGTTCACGACGGGAACGCCGCCATTGGCTGGAGAGAATGAACAAGCGGATGACCATAATTGGTCACAGACATCCCATATAATTACGCAGAATTCCCGTATGTTGGTCCTGACAAGACAGCAGTTTCCCGGGTTCCCTGTTTTCTCCTTATCGCGCAGTCTGGGGGACTCAGTTACGGCGTAACCAATAGACGGCAACCCACGGTGACAGCTGGCGTTACGCTAAAAATTAGACCAAGCAAAATTTTTGCCACCGTAAACTTGTACAATAAATGTCCTACCCTGTTTGGCCTAATGCAGTATGTTCATTTAATTAACCCCCGAACTGTTATGCCACTTTTCTTACTCACAAAGTTGTCTGATTCCATTTAAATAACCTTCCTATTCTTGCTTATTTCCGACAGAATCAAGAAAGAAGCCTTGAATAAGCAGATCACTTGACAGCGTTGGCTCGAACGCCCTAATTTATATTGATAGACAAGACAGAGTTCATGTCCACACAGATTCTGCTCCAATTCCGTTTGTTACTTGTTTCTTTTATTCAGTAATATATGTAAAGATTTGATTTGTGTTGTTACCAGATTAAGATGAATACAACCTGTTTCGCCACTTTGCTCTGCTTGTTCATCTATCAACATGCCCAACCGAATACTCGTCCCTTCGAGATGGACAAAGTAGTTCTTTCCTAAGAGTTGGTATTCTTCAGAGGGGAGATTTGGAAACAATCGTTTCCTTCCGGCGGTTGGCCGCTTTATCGAGACTGAATCGATGATCCAGTGTGAAAATAGCCCTACTTTGTATACACCATGTAGAAAACCTTTCCGCTTTCAGCACCGACCACAGAAATATGGCTAGGGCATCATACTAAACGAGGAGACCAAATCAAAGACTAGTGCATCATACTAAACGAGGATACCAAATCAAGGCCTTCAAAAGTCCACATCATAATTAGCACATTTGTTTTTCGTCCCTTCTTTGTTTATCTGGACAAATTTGGTACCTGAGCGAAGTAAACTACCCTTCACCATTCGCAAGACAGCCTTCAAGATAGCGGTGAGCTGGTGAGGTGTTCAGGGGATTCCACTTGACGGGACGATATGATATTTGAGTAAGATTTGCTCCATTCTCATTGGCACTCCGTTAAGAAGACTTCTCTCAAAAAACATCCCAGTATCCTGAAACTTTACACCTATTGAAGCACTCTCCCTGAGAGGCACAAGACAACTTTCTGGCTGGTTATTAGGAAGGCAAGTCTTAATCAGTCTGCAATGATGATGCTCCGTAGTAACCAGCCGAACTTTTCTGCTGTGGTCCAGAGTCAGCTAGGTATCCCCACGATGTATCCTTTTATGCCTTAGTTCGCTGAAGGAGTGCTGAACTAACCAGCATGATTTTGCTAGTCATAGTATCGAGATGTTTCAAAAACATGCCTTGTTCAAGATCTTTGTGTAACTTTCTATAATTTATTCCATCTGCCTCTGGAATGCCAAAATTTAGTGAACGCCGTCTACATCACTGACAATCCAGTCGGAATGATCTGGTCAGTAATTAATGTTTTCAGATGAGCCACTCAACTGTTGCTCGGAACTTAATAGAGGATTATTACTAATGGGTGTGTCAGGAATTGCTACTTATTTGGTCATTTGAATTACTGACTATATAAAGTCCTGAAACCATGCAGTTTGCATATCTTCTCCCCACGGAATAAATGCGTGAGTATGGTTTCCAAACACCAATACACTTCATCATGCTGCGCAGTAAGTCCGGTTGTTTCAGAAACTCACGGAAATACAAACAGCAAACACTTGTTTGGATTGTATCAGAAACAATTGGGTTTGCCCCCAAATTAGACCCGACACCGAGGGAGATAGAGGCAATGAAGAAACAGTGGTGAGATTGGTAATGTGGTGAAATATTGGTAGCTCGAGTGAGTTTATTGGTTATTGATTAGATGGCTGTTGATCTGTTCGCCGAGCTTGGCAATTGGCTTGCAAACGTTTCGTCACCATACGAGGAGACATCATCACCTTCGAGAATCTCTCACCTACCGAAACGCTATTGAACCCACAAGTGCGCATTTGTATTTGGCTAGATATAGGACGTATCCTGATGGAAAGATGCAAGCTAAATAGGTCGTTGGATAAATTATTGTGACTCGCATTGCTCAGAAGGTCGAAAAAGTGAGAGCGGTATTCTGGAGGATGAGTTACGTAATCGCAACTCATTTTGTCAGTTGTATTAACCCTGGAAATTTTGATGACCATGAGGAGACCGCATCCGTCCCATGTAATAGCATATCAGACCAATTTTTTGGTCCCTTTAAAGAGCTGTCTGTGAATAGTGATTACATGGTCACGAGTTTGAATGGAAATGTATATCCATCACTTTTCATAAAAACGTGGCTGTTCAGACAGTTCTTTAGACTACGAAGTATGGCGAAATCCTGGTTTCCAGCAATGCTGTGGATGCGTCACAACCTTAATGGCAGTAACCCAGTAAGACTGGCTTGTGGACATTAGTTAGGTCATATGCGGCTTTATAATATCAAGCTTTCCATAAGCTGCTGGATTCATAATCCACAAAATGTGATTTTGGCGTTAAGAAATTTCACAGATAACAGTTTACGCGGGCGACTGTAATTTAGAAGAATTGCCTGAACCTTCGGGCCTAGAACATTCCCAGACCAATTTGTGCATCACTTGGTTTTCCGCTACCTATCAGTAATCGGTAAGGTCAATCGCTGTAATTTTATGTAGCCCCACAGTTTGTGTGTGTGTGTGTGTATGAATTAGAGAGGAGGACGAATGTATGTATGTATGTATGTATGTATGTAAGTATGTATGTATGTATGTATGTATGTAAGTATGTATGTATGTATGTATGTATGTATGTATGTA